CTTTGGAATGGGTACAAATATGGATCTCTTCCAGTCAGTTGGCCAGGTAGCTGTCTTCCAAATCTCTTGGCATAGCCAAGTGGGTGCCTCCAGTGGGGCATCCATTTGTTTAAACATCTCAATGAGTACTCCATCAATTCCGGGAGGGAGACTTACTCTTCGCCGGTTCCTTCAATGCAGCTTCGACTTCTTCCTTCAATATCATTGGTTCTTGAACATATGCCACCTCCTGAAATGGATGAACATCGACCAATTCTTTTTCCTTTAGTGACTCTGTGTATTCCTTCCATCTTCTTTTGATGTTTCCTGTATCATTCAACATTTTGCCCACAGAATCTTTCAACATTGCAACTTGAGGCTTAAATTTTTTCCTCAGTTCTTTCAGCTTGAGAAATGCTGAATGTGTTCTTCCCTTTTGATTTTCTAACTCCTGGTCTTGCATATTTCAGTATAGCAATTGGCTCTGTCTGCTCAAGCTGCTCTTTGAAATCTTCTGTTCAGCTCTTTTATCTTGTCATTTTTCCCATTTGTATTAGCTACTCTCCACTCAATGACAAGTTTCAGTCTCTTCTGACATCTAATTTGGTCTTTTCTTCCATTCCTGTCTTTTTAATGACCTTTTGCTTTCTTCATGGATGATGTTCTTGATATCATCCCACAGTTCCTCTGGTCTTTGGTCATTGGTGTTCAGTGCATCAAATCTATTCTTTAAATGGTCTCTAAATCCAGGTGGGATATAATCAAGGTCACACTTTGGCTTTCATGGACTTGTTTTGTTTTCAATTTCAACATGAACTTGTATAGGAACAACTGATTATCTGTTCCATGGTCAGCTCCTGGCCTTGTATTGGCTGAAGATATTGAACTTCTCCACCGCCTCTTTCCACAGATGTAGTCAATCTGATTCCTGTGTACTCCATCTGGTGAAGTCCACATGTATAGCCACTGTTCATGTTGTTGAAAAAAGGTATCTGCAATGAATAAGTCATTGGTCTTGCAAAATTCTATCATGCGATGTCCAGAGTCATTTCTATCACCAAGGCTGCATTTTCCGCTGCTAGTGATTCTTCTTTGTTTCTAACTTTTGCATTCCAATCACCAGTGATAATCAACACACCTTGATTGCATGTTTGGTCAATTTCAGACTACAGAAGCTGATAAAAATCTTCAATTTCCTCATCGTTAGCCTTGGTGTTTGGTGTGTAAATTTGAATAATAGTACTATTAACTAGCCTCCCTTGTACACGTATGAATATTATCCTATCACAGACAGCATTGTACTTCAGGATATATCATGAAACATTCTTTGTGCTGATGAATGTCACACCATTCCTCTTCAATTTGTCATTCTCCACATAGTAGATCATATGGTTGTCTGATTCAAAATGGCCAAAACTAGTCCCTTTCAGCTCACTAATGCCTAGAAAATCAAACTTTATGTGTTCATTCTTGACAACTTCCAATTTTCCTAGATTCATACTTCATGCATTCCATGTCCCGATTATTAATAGATGCTTGCATCTGTTTCTTCTCATTTTCAGTCACACCATATCAGCAAAAGGAGGTCCCAAAAACTTTACTCCATCTATATCATTAAGGTCAACTCTACGCTGAGGAGGCAGCTCTTCCCCAGTCATATTTTGAGTGCCTTCCAACCTGATGGGTTCATCTTCTGCCACTATATCAGACAATGTTTGAGGGCTATTCATAAACATTTTCCAGTAATATATCAGACAGTGTTTCACTGCTATTCATAAGGTTTTCACTGGCCAATTCTTTGAGAAGTAGATGGCCTCTTCCTTCTTCCAAGCCCGTCTTAGTCTGGAAGCTCCACTGAAACCTGTCAACCACCATGGGTGACCCTGCTGGTATCTGAAATACTGGTGGCATAGCCTCTAACTTCACAGCCACACACAACACACCAAAGTATGACAAACTGACAGGAGAGTGGTGGTGGAATATCATTAGACCCTGAAATATATGTTCTTTCCTTTTGATAATTCATAGTTATATTTTATATTAATTAAAACGTGTCTTTACCCAAAATTTTTCAGTAGTCTTCAAAGGCATTCGCCAGCAGCCACCTTGCTCAGTGTCCCTGAGCAGCACGGAAGGGCAGAGCTAGTGTGTTTCCTCCATGTCAGCCCATCCAAATGTCACCTTTTCCTGGAAGAGCCTCAACATTGTGCTCGTTTGGAAGCAGAGTTCCTGCAGGCTGCATGCAGAGCTTTGCACTGTCTTTCTACTGTCATGAGTTCAAGTTGTGGCTAAGATTAAACCCTTTCCTCTGCACCTCACTTCCTCTGCCCAGACACTGTGTCACCCTTCCCATCGACAACGGTAAGTATCCTCTGAGCTCCTCTGGTTTCCTTTTCCTCATGTGTAAGATGTTCATTCTGTGTATTTTCATTAGATTTGTTATCTGCAGCCTAGTGCTAATCCATTAAACCATCAAAAGCGGCTCGAATTCACAGCTCTGATACCAACTTGTCCCCAAAGCTTTCCTTGACTACTGAATGAGAGGATGACTAAACTCCATCTGCTTAATTTCCTAATTCCTGGGACACTTCCTGTCCTTTGCCTGTGACTCCCTTACGTGTTACTTTTCTTTTTTTTCCCCTGTAGTGTTTCCTCCCTTCCCACTATTACTTTTTTTAAATGCATGCATCTCAGTTTCAGTTAGGCCCAAAATTACGTGAAGGCAGAAATTACACCGCCTGTATCCCCAAAGACATCACACACACTATGCCTGCGATCATCAACTAATAATTTATGACTGCCATCTCCTGAGGTTTTAAAAGTGGGTTCAGTAAGACCATCCTTTCTGGGCAAATTATCTTGTTGCCTGGATGACTTTGGGCAAGTAGAAGCCAAGACGTGACCCCAGCTTTGGACCCTCCCCACGAGACACCTCAACTAGAGCATGAAATCAGAGGGGACAAAGCTTCCTGAAGAGTCTCCCGGCACTTCCCCTCTGCATTCAATGCCTCACGTTGTTCCAATGTGGGTCAAGTTCATCACCTCACAGTCAAATCCAAGACCTAATATCCATTACCTAGGCCCCATGAGTGTGTGGGCAAGCAGATCCTTAATGGGATCCCTGTTAGATGAGGGATTTGCGAAGATGATCAGGGAAGGAGATGTTAGACTAACACTTCTGTGAAAGCCATCCCTGGGTCCCCATTTCCAGCACAGGGTTTATGAGTGATATAAAGCAGGAGTATCTGAGACCAGAGCTTCCAAGTGCCAGACGAAGCTGTGTTTGCACCCCCTTCCCCCCATCGTCATATACCACTCCACCCCAGAAAAAGCAGGAGGCAGCAGCTCTGTAGGGCTGGTGCTCACACCTTACCTGGGTGTCCAGGAGGAATATTCTCTTCCCAACACACGCTGCAACAGTCCGATCATCCGGGCTGAACCGTAAGCAAAGAGCCTTTCCCGGGAGTGTGCCCAGGACTATCCCACGAGGAGCTGTCCCTGTGGGGTTCAGGCATTGGTGTCAGCCCTGAAATGCTGCCTAGTCCCTCTCACACAGCACCACCAAAAGACACACTGGAAAATCTACTCTCACACAGTCACCAGCAGATGGGGCACTAAGGAGATCCTGGTTCTCCCTCCATGGTACTGGGAATACAGCCACAGTCTCCAGACTGCTGTGGGCACAGCTGTCTGCAGGGAGCATGCAGTATATATGGGGACCGCCACACATGGCCCATGCATCCACGCTTCAGGGACCAGAGGCATACAAAGCCAGGCCACCATCAAAATGCCTTGGGCTGCTCTGGTGAGGACAGCATGGGGCCAGGTAGGTGGGGCAGATGAGGGCTGTCAAAGGCCAGCGAGGACCCAGAAGAGAAGGGCTGTGGTGTGGCCTGGGCAGCAGCAGGGTAGGTCTCCACATGGTCAGCTTCCGTCCTACGTGGCTAAAGGGCAGGTATGGGGTGTGGAAGAGAAAAGGGAGCAGAACTGGGACACCTGCAGAAGCAGGAGGAGATGGGCCATGATGCTGGTGTGGTCAGGCCTACAGTGGCCACCAGACATCCACGTGGCAATGGCAAACAGGCAGCTGACTAGACGAGGAAGAGCCATTGCAGCAAAGGACAAGGGGTAGCATGGTCAGCACGTGGGGGTCACAAAGCCATCGGCTGGGGTAACCACAGAGGAGGGACCAGCAGAGGACGGGAACAAGGTCACCATGAGACTGGAAGAATGGAGGGGCATATCCTGCTGCTGGAGAAAGGAAGCGTTTCCAGAAGAGACTGGAAATGGCCATGGCACACCACAATGAGGGCAGTGATCCCATGCCATTTCCTGAGTCCAAGTCAAACTCACATCAGCATCACGCATGACAACATGTGTGACTCAGCACGCCACCCCAGCGACATGTGAGCCACCAGCCATGCTGGTTCCTGCTCAGGCCACTGAGCTCACAACTGGAGGCTGATGGCCCATGAAGGTGCCTGTTCCCACAGCAGAGGGCAACGCAGAGATGAGCGTGTTCCAAACCCACCACAGTGAACCGAGCAGTGGGATCTGGATTCTGGATGCGTTTTTGTCAGACACTGAGGGCTCCATGAAACCCCTCTGCTTTAGGCCACAGTGGGCTGTATACGCTACCAGGCCAACCACCATGGGCCAGAGACCTGTGTGTGCGACTGAAGAGCACACAGGAGGGTTCTCAGCACCTCCCAAACCAGGGTTTCCTGTCTACAGACACCCCTCAAGGAAGAGGGCCGATGTGCAGTTCACTGTGCATAAACACACACACATGTGTGTGCATATCTTGTATGTGTGTGCACATATGTGCTGTGCATGCACAATATGCACCTGTATGTGCACGTGTGTGTGTTTGTGTGCACATCCATGCTATGAACATGTTATGCACCTGTGTGAATGTGTATATGTATATGTGCATGTCTTTACTGTGTATGAATGCTATACACCTGCTTGTATATATGTGTGTATGTGTGTGTATCTATGCTGGTATCCACATGCTATGCACCTGTGTGTATAAGTGTGTATGTGTGCACATCTGTGCTGTGTTTGCATGTGTTATGCAGTCATACATATATGTGTGTATGGATGTGTGCAGGTCCAGGCTGTGTAAGTGCACGTTATGCACCTGTGTGCATATGTGTATGTGTGCACATCTATGCTTTGAATATGTTATGCACCTGTCTAATGTGCATGTGTGCACATCTGTCCTGTGCGTGCATGTTACACACCTATTTGTATACAGGTGTACATATGTGTACATATCTGTGCTGGTATGCACACTATGCACTTGTGTATGTGTACACACCTCTGCTGTGTATGCGTATCATGCAACTGTATGTATATGTGCGTATGGATGTGCGCAGGTCCATGCTGTATATTATGCACCTGGGTGTATGTATGTGTGACCATTTGTATTGTGCATGCACGTTATGCACCTGTGTATGTTGTTGTTGTTAAGCACTGTCAAGTTGTCTCGGACTCATAGCAACCGTATGCAAAGCACAACAAAACACTGCCCAGTCTTGGGCCAGCCTCACGATCCTTACTATACCTGAGTCCATTGTTGCAGCCACTGTCTATCCATCTCATTGAGATCCTGCCCCTTCTTCTTTGACCCTCCACTTTAACAAGCATGATATCATTCTCCATGAAATGGTTCCTTCTGACAACATGACCAAAATAAGTGAGACGAAGTCCGGCCATTCTTGCTTCCAAGGAGCATTCGGGCTGTACTTCTTCCAGGACAGATTTATTAGTACTCTTAGCATTCTTCTCCAACACTACAACTCAAAAGCAACTCTTCTTCTGTCTTCCTTATTCATTGTCCAGCTTTCACATGCATAAGAAGTGACTGAAAATATGATGGCTTGGGTTAGGCACACCTTGGTCTTCAAGGAGACATCTTTGCTCTTCATCACTTGAAAAAGGTCTTTTTAGCAGATTTGCCCAATGCAATATGTTGTCTGCTATCTTGACTGCTGCTTCCATTGGTGTTGATTGTGGAACCAAGTAATATGAAATCCTTGACAACTGCAATCTTTTCACCATCCACCATGAAGCTGTTTATTGGACCAGTTGTGAGGATTTTTTTCCTTTATATTGAGGTGTAATCCATATCACAGCCTGTAGTCTTTAATCTTCATCAGTAAGTGCTTCAAGTCATCCTCACTTTCAGCAAGCAAAGTTGTGTCACCAGTGTATTGCAGGTTATTAGTGAGTCTTCCTACAATCCTGATGCCATGTTCTTCTTCATATAGTCCAGCTTCTCGGACTATTTGCTTAGCATACAAGTTGAGTAAGTATGGTGAAAGGATACAACCCCAACACACTCCCTTCTTGATTTTGAAGCATGCAGTGGCCTCTTGTTTTGTTCAAACAACAGCCCCCTTGATCTATGTACAGGTTCCTCATGAGTATAATCAAGTGTTCTGGAATTCCCATTCTTCTCAATGTTATCCACAATTTGTTATGATCCACACAATCGAATGCTTTTGCATAATCAATAAAAGATAAGTGAACATCTTTCTGACATTCTTTCCTTTCAGCTAAGATCCATCTGACATCAGCAGTGATATCCCTCATTCCATGTCCTCTTCTGAATTCAGCTTGCATTTCTGGAAGTTCTTTGTCAATATACTGCTGCAACCATTCTGGAAGTATCTTCAGAAAGATTTTACTTGCATGCAATATTAATGATATTGTTTGATAATTTCCACATTCTGTGGGATCACCTTTCTTTGGAATGGGTACAAATATGGATCTCTTCCAATCAGCTGGCTAGGTACCTGTCTTCCAAATCTCTTGGCATAGCTGAGTGGGTGCCTCTAGCAGGGCATACGTTTGTTGAATCACTTCAGTGGGTATTCTATCGATTCATGGAGCCTTGTTCTTTGCCAATTCCTTCAGTGCAGCTTTGACTTCTTCCTTCAATACCATTGGTTCTTGATCATATGCCACCTCCTGAAAAAAATTCTTTTTGGTGCAGTGACTCTGTGCATTCCTTCCATCTTCTTTTGATGCTTCCTGCATCATTCAATATTTTGCCCATAGAATCTTTCAATATTGCAACTCGAAGCTTAAATTTTTTCCTCAGTTTTTGCATCTTGAGAAGTGCCGAGAGTGTTTTTCCCTTTTGGTTTTCTAACTCCAGGTCTTTGCACATTTCATTATAGTAATTGGCTTTGTCTGCTCGAGGTGCTCTTTGAAATCCTTGTTCAACTCTTTTACTTCAGCATCTCTTCCATTTGCTTTAACTACTCTCCACTCAAGGGCAAGTTGCAGAATCTCCTCTGACATCCACTTTGGTCTTTTCTTCCTTTCGTGTCTTTTTAATGACCTCTTGCTTTCTCTTGATGTCATCCCACAAGTGCTCTGGTTTTCGGTCATTGTTGTTCAATGCATCCAATCTATTCCATGAACTGTGTATAAATTTAGGAGGGATATTATCAAGGCCCTATTTTGGTTCTTGTGGACTTGTTTTAATTGTCTTCAACTTCAAGTTGAACATGCATATGAGCAGTTGATGGTCTGGTCCACAATCAGCTCCCGGCCTTATTTTGGCTGAAGACATTAAATTTTTCCATCGCCTCTTGCCACAGATGTAGTCAGTCTGATTCCGGTGTATTCCATCTGGTGAAGTCCATGTGTACAGTCATCACTCATGTTGTTGAAAAAAGGTATTTGCAAGGAATAAGTCATTGGTCTTGCAAAATTCTATCATGCAATCTCCAGCATTACTTCTATCACCAAGGCCATACTTTCCAACTACCAGGAACTCTTCTTTGTTTCCAATTTTTGCATTCCTGTCACCAGTGATAATCAACACATCTTGATTATATATCACAGGCTGTTAATGAGTCTTCCTCCAATCCTGATGCCATGTAATTTTTTATATAGTCCAGCTTCTTGGATTACTTGCTCAGCACACAGACTGAATAAGTATAGTGAAAGGATACAACCCTATGTGATCCTATGGAACTACTTAAGATTAAATAAAACTAATGAGCTTATACATCAGTGTGACACACAGAAAGCTCATGAAACTGGGAAATAGCAGCCCAGAAGGCAGCCACTTAGACCTCTGATATCAAGTCTAAAGCCAAAAATGATCCCAAGATGAGCTACTCCCTTTATACGTTTTTCAAATGTTTTAACTGTTCGTTTACCCTGGAGTGCGTTGTCTCTGCATTCGCTCAGGTGCCACACTAGCACGTTGTCAGGTGATGCAGAGCACAGAAGATGGGGACTCACTTTATTTCCAAAAGCCACAGCTGTTATTGACTGATGGTGTCCTCTTAGGATGAGAAGCTGAAAAAGTTAACACAGCAAGGCCATCGCCACTGCACCAACAGGGCTCCTTTAGATGACAAAAGTTAACATTTAAACAGTGAAAGGACATAATGCTGAACTCAAACCTAAGAAATGAAATGGGATAAATTTTCAGATGCACCCATTTCAGATTCATTCCTGATGCTGCTCATTAAGATTCCTGTGTAAGTACGACTCAAGGCAGCCATTCCAGTATCTTCTGTGTCATGTGTACACAGACTGATGACATGGTATGGTTACCTCATTCTTCCATTAGTTCACTATGTGCTGACTAAACAAAGGTATAGACCCACTCCTCACTTATCAACATGGTTAGGTTCCATAGACCAAGTCGCTATGCAAAACTGGAGGATGACCACATCAGATCACAAAATGGAGGATGACTGTATCATGACTGCCAAATTACATCATTACGTAACTACCACACCACTGTGAATCATGGCCCAGATGAGCTGGCACATAACCTTAACCATCACAGTCAGCATCAGTTTTGCCTCACTACTTAGCATTCACTACCACCAGAAGTATGACATTAATGTGCAAAACAGTCAGATTTTTTACAGCTGTCATAAATGCTGGACAATGAGATAGTTGATAAGTGAGGAGTAGGCATATTGCATCCCTACTACAGGATGGTGAGGAAATGGGACATAAATAGGAGTTGACAAGAGGAGGGAAGCGTTGAAGACTCTGAGGCAGCAAGTGAGTTACAGAAACCACTGTGCAAGCAAAGTCCAATGGGATGCCAAGCAGGTGGCCAGGTCATGAGGGCTTCTGAAACCTAAAGTGACTTCAAGGAAGCTCTAGGCAACAGGCCACACACATGTGCAAGAAGGACTGCCCAGCTCTGTACCACTCTTACAATCTTCGCTAGGTTTGGACCTGTCATTACAGCCACTATGTCAATCCATTTCATTGAGGGTCTTCCCCTTTCTCATGGACCCTCTATTTCACCAAGTAGTACATCCTTCTACAGGGCATGGTCCCTTCTGACAACATGACCAAAATAGGTGAGACAAAGTCTGGCCATTCCCCTTAGTAAAGAGCATTCCAGCTGTACTTCTTCCAGGACAGATTTGTTCATTCTACTGGCAGTCTATGATATATTTAGCATTCTTCACCAACACCACAATTCAAATGCATCAGTTCTTCTTTGGTCTTCCTTATTCATTCTCCAGCTTCCATATGCATACGAGGCAACTGAAAACACCATGGCTTGGGTCAGGTGCACCTTAGTCATCAAACTGACATCTTCGCTCTTAAACACTAAAAAGAGGTCTTTTGAAGCATTTTTGCCCAACACAATATGTGATCAGCTTTTTCGACTGCTGCTTCCATGGATGTTGATTGTGGATGTAAGTAAAATGAAATCCTTGACAACTTCAATCTTTTCTCCACTTATCGTCATATTCCTCATTGGTCCAGTTGTGAAGATTTTTGTTTTGTTTCTGTTGAGGTGTAATCCATACTGAAGTCCACAGCCCGTGATCCTCATCAGTAAGTGCTTCAGGTCACCTTCACTTTCAGCAAGGAATGTTGTGTGATCTGCATATCACAGCGTATTAATGAGTCTTCCTCCAATCCTGATGCCACATTCTTCTTCATATAGTCCAGCTTCTCAGATTATTTGCTTGGCATACAGAGTAAGTATTGTAAAAAGATGCAAGCCTGACACACACCTTTCCTGACTTTAAACCATTCAATATCCCCTTGTTCTGTTCAAATAACTGCTTCTTGGTCTATGTACAGGTTCCTCAAGAGAACAATTAAGTGTTCTGGAATTCTTCTCAATGTTATCCATAATTTGTTATGATTCACACAGTCAAGTGCCTTTGCATAATCAATAAAATACAGGTAAATATCTTTCTGGTGTTCTCTGCTTTCAGCCAAGATCCATCTAACATCAGCAATGATATATATCTATTTTTCCACATCTTCTTCTGAATCCAGATTGAATTTCTGGCAGTTCTCTGTCACTGTACTGCTGCAACCATTTTCTGAATTATCTTCAGCGAAAGTTTGCTTGTGTGCGATATTAATGATATTGTTCGATAATTTCCACATTCTGCTAGATCTCCTTTCTTTGGAATGGGCACAAATACGGATTTCTTCCAGTCAGTTGGCCAGTAGCTCTCTTCCAAATTTCTTGGCGTAGACGAGTAAGTGCCTCCAACACTGCATCTGTCTGCTGAAACATCTCAATGAGTATTCTGCAAACTCCCAGAGCTTTGTTTTCTGCCAACGCCTTCAGTGAAGCCTGGATTTTTTTCCTTAATACCATCAATTCTTGATCGTATGCTAGCTCCTGAAATGGCTGAACACTGATTTTGGCATGACTCATTTTCTCTCATTTTCCTTCATTTTCTTTTGATGCTTCCTGTGCCATTCATTATTTTCTCCATGTTGTTGTTAGGTACCATCACATTGGTTCTGATCCACAGCAACCCCATGTACAAAAGAATGAAACACTGCCTGGTCATGTGCCATCCTCAAAGTTCTTACCATGATTGAACCTGTCATCACAGCCACTGTGTCAATTCATCTCATTGAGGGGCTTCTCTTTTTTTTACTGACCCTCCAATTAACCAAGTATGATATCCTTCTCCAGGGATTGGTTGATCCCTCTGACAACATGACCAAAGTATGTGAAACAAAGTCCATGGTACACTCAATATTCTTTCCCAACACCTCAACTCAAATGCATCAATTTTTCTGTCATCTTCTTTATTCATTGTCCAACTCTCATGTGAATATGAGACTGTTGAAAATATCATGGCTTGGGTCAAGTGCACTTAATCTTCAAAGTGATATCTTTGCTCTTCAACACTTTTGGAGCAGATTTGCCCAATTTGATTGTTGTTTGACTTCTTGACTGCTGCTTCCAAGGGTGCTGATTGTGGATTCAAGTAAAATGAAATCCTTGACAAGTTCGATCTTTTCTCTATTTATCATATTGTTTATTGGTCCAGTTGTGAGGATGTCTGCTTTCATATTGAAGCATAATCTCTACTGAAGGATGCAGTCTCTGATCTTCATTAGTAAGTGCTCCAAGTCTACACTTTCAGCGAACAAGGTTGTGTCATCTGCTTATCACAGGTTGTTAATGAGTCTTTCTTCAATCCTGATGCCACATTCTTCTTCATATAATCCAGCTTCTCAGGTAATTTGCTCAACATACAGATTGAATAAATATGGTGAAAGGACAGAACCCTGACACACATCTTTCCCGATTTCAAACCATGCAGTATCCCCTTGTTCCATTTAAACAACTGCCTTGTGGTCTCTGTACAGATTCCTCATGAGTACAATTACGTGCTCTGGAATTCCCATTCTTCAATAGTGCAACTTGAGACTTGAATTTTTTTTCTTCACTTCTTTCACCCTGAGAAACACTGAGCATGTTCTTCTCTTTTGGTTTTCTAATTTCAGGTCTGTGCACATTTCATTATATACTTTACTTTCTCTTCCCAAGCCACCCTTTGAAATCTTTGGTTCCGCTCTTTTACTTCATCATTTCTTCCTTTCACTTTAGCTACTCTATAATCAAGGGCAAGTTTCAGTGTGCCTTCTCACATCTATTTTGGTCTTTTCTTTCTTTCCCCTCTTTTTTGTGATCTTTTGCTTTGTTCATGTGCAATGTTCGTGCTGTCATCCCACAACTTGCCTGGTCTTCGGGCACTGGTGTTCAATGTATCAAATATATTCTTTAGATGGTCTCAAATTCAAGTGGGATATAATCAAAGTCACATTTTGGCTCCTTCGGCTTCAACTTCAGCTTGCATATGAGCAACTGATGGTCTGCTCCAAAGTCACCCCTTGGCATTGTGCTGACTGATGATATTAAGCTTCTCCATCCTCTTTCCATAGATGAGACGATTTGATTCCAGTGTATTCCATTCAGTGAGGTCCACATGTATAGTACCCATTTACACTGTTGGAAAATGTATTTTCAATGAATAAGTCACTGGTCTTGCAAAATTCTACCATGCGATCTCTGGCATGGTTTCTATCACCGAGGCCATATTTTCCAAGTACTGATCCTTTGTCTTTGTTTCCAGTTTTTGCATTTCAATTACCAGTAATTATCAATGCAACTTGATTTCATATCTGATCAATTACAGACTTCAGAAGCTGGTAAAAACCTTTGATTCTTCATCTATGGCTTTAGTTGGTATATAAATTTGAATAAATATGAATGGAGGACTCCAGCTCAAAAGAAGGCATAATGTAGGATTTTACAAATATAAAGTTCAAACACAGGTAAAACTGACCTGTGGTTTTAGAAGTGAATACAGTGTTACTTGTGGAGAGGAGAGGTGGGCACTAACTGAAAGGAGGTGTGGCCTGGGTGACATTTACCCAGGGGCATGTTTTCTTTGTGATGAGTCGAGACAATGTACACTTGATACCTGGGATCCTTTCCTCTAAGTATATTACACTCCATTTTCTGAAAAGTTAGAGATTAGGCTGGAGATCTGAATTTAGGAACCCAGCCAGCAATGTGAGTTGTGCTAAAGAAATACATGAACCCTCTGAATTCAGGTGACCAAGTAAAGCCTGGGTACCCTTTCACTCTGAGGAACAGCTTCTACTGCCAGTAAGTGACTGGCAGGAGACCAAAGGCTAAAGAAATTTTCAAAGCAAATATAATTGTCGTTCTTATGGGTTATCATCACTATTTTCACTGTTTTCAAAATTCTTGGCTAGTGCCAAGAAACAAGGATGAAATTTACTTCCTCATTTTGTCCATCAAAAATTATTTCTATTAAAAGTTTCCAAGATCTTAGATAGAGTAGGAGAATAATGTAGAACAAAACTCAAAATCATAAAACAGACCAGGTGAGACCCCTGTGACTACGGCCCCTAGTTAGCCTTCAGGTTGGGAATCAAACTCACTCCTGTGGCTTCCAGCCAAACAAGAGACAAGTATATAGGGTGAACATTTATATCAGGTTGATACACTCCTTAGAATAATCATTCATGGGACACCAGACGAGCAGTGTTTGCACAGGGAGACAGATAAGGGAGCAAGAATACAAAGGAAAGAAGAACACAGGGAAGAGGTAACTACAGGGAGGAAATGGGAAGAGAGCTGTTACATTGCAGGCACTGCAATCAATGTCATGAAACAAAATGTGTATGAACTGCTGTGTGGAAAATGAATTTGCTTCAGAAACTTTCACCCAAATCACAATAAAAACAGAAAAAAAAAATAAAAAGCTGGATAACTGCACACATCGTGGAGGAAGTCTGTCCGGGTAACTCCATGCATCACGGAGGAAATCTGTGCAGGAGACTGTACACGTCACGAAGGAAGTCTAAGAATGAAAAGAGTGGTATCTTTAAAGTTTGCTGTAGAAGAATTCACAATCAACATACTCACCTTTCTTACAACACCTTTCTTAAAAGCTACAAATGTTCCATTTGTCTTGGTTGTGTTCAGATGAACATTTTACTTGCTCAAGTTCTACTGAAGGAGAAATTTTTTAAAATAAAGAGATTGCAGACAGTGTATTTTCTAAGTATCAAAATATAATACAGTGTTATTTTTAACTTTCTTCTTCCATGGCTGGGACAGTATCACTCATGCAGCACTAAAGAAAGGAAGGCAGGAGGACAAGGCCCTCACTTCATTGGGCATAACAAAAAACACATACAAGATTTCAAGATACCTGGTCATCAGGACTCCTGGCACTCCAAACACAAAGCTCACGTCCATTGAGAGGGAAAGCACAGTAAGGCTCGCTGCAAGCCAGCTGAACATGAGAGGCAGGTTCCCTGGATTCCACCATATACTTTTCTGTAACTACGTCTCCTATGCAGCCACCATCACCAGAGAAAACATCTTGTGGCCCATCCATCTTCAATCTGAAAACACCAAGTACGTATGAGTAGGTATATTTAGTTTATTTAATGGTTATGTAACTTAAGCATAATTACACACACACACACACACACACACACACCATACATACCTCCTTACCTACTTACCCTCCTCACTGCTGGCAATGGGGAGATTCCACACACGACTGCTCCAACTTGTACGGGGGTTCTAATTCAACAGGCTGGATTCATGTCCCAGAATCCCCACTTCACATTCTGGGCCTTCTTCCACATCTGTAAGATGAAGGGAACCACCACTTCAGAGTTACTGTAAAGTTATACGAATGACGTTATATGAAGTATTGGTCCAGTACTGGACTTCGTAATGTGTTCAAAAGGGAGTTCCTGAAATCGATTATTATTGTTGTTGTTGTTAGGTGCCGTCAAGTCATTTCTGACTCATAGCGACCCCATGGACAGCAGAATGAAACACTGCCCGATCCCACTCCAGCTCCATGATCCCTGCTATATTTGAGCCCATCATCACAGCCACCATGTCAATTCATCTCGTTGAAGGCCTCCCCCTCTTTCGTTGACCCTCCACCCTACCAAGCATGACATCCTTCTCCAAGGAATGGTCCTTTATGACAACATGATCAAAATAGATGAGACGAGGCCTGGCCATTCTCGCTTCCAAGGAGCATTTCAGGTGCACTTCCTCCAGGACAGATCTGTTAGTTCTTTTAGCAGTCCATGGTACTTTCAGCATTCTTTGCCAGCACCACAACTCAAAAGCATCAACTCTTCT